AACCATTCGTGTAAATGTAAAATGCATTTTGTGTTAAATTTACGAATGTACACACACATTTGATATGAAAATAAATTTAATTTTACAGCTTGTTCATCATTTGTTAAATTCAATTACCTTAATTAAAAAAACATAGTGATCTGTATAGTGGCCAAAAATAACTAAATCATTCGTATTTCGAATTGAATATAAACATACATTACGCTCCTCGTAACACCACCGGGCGAGTCTCGTAATTCTAGCACATAATAAATAGACTGGCCAGTTGCATTAGTAAATCAATACTCGGAGAGCAACTTCTTCCAATGAAAAAAGGTTTCGTTTAGTAAAATGAACCAAAAATACATATAGGCATATGGGTATTAGCAATAACATGTATTGCTAATTCTAGCTAAATAAGAGTTAATACGGTCTGGGTTTGAGAATAGTGGAACCATTGAAATAAAACTAATGCCTTTCATCTCACGTCTCAAAGTGAGCTGCGTCATTTCTGTTCTCATGTCTATAAACTCGACGAATCATTTCCCACCAGGTGGACTGAGCTCATCTTGAGCATAAGGTAACATTGTTTCTTCCAGTATATTTTTGTATTGGAATTGATCCATGTTTCCTTGTCTGATACAAAGAAACATAACAGATCCAACAGCATGGGCAAAAAAAGCACTCCTAATTTTCACATTTCCCCGACTACTTTTTCACAAAAGTATGGCTCAGTCACTCCTTCATAGCTAATACCCCATCAAACCTTCACTGAAGTCAGATAGTGCCCACGTTGCACTCTGTCGACTAGTTGGGAAGCTTCCTTAGAGCTTTGAGCATAAATACGGTCATTTTGTTTGTTAAAATGTTGCTCAATTGTAAAAAATTTCTCATCCGTAAACAAACATTTTCTATGACCTCCCTTTGCGTACCGCTTCAGTAGTTGTTTTGATTTTACCACCCTATTCTCTTTTAAATTATCAGTTAAGAAATGACCAGTACGTCTCTCATAGGCTGCAAGTTCTAAGTCATCTTTTAAAATACGCGACAACGTTCTAGGTGCTATCTTCATCTCCTGAGATAAAATCTTTTGCTTTCGGACAGGATTTCTTCGAATTCTTTCCCTTACTGCTTTGACTACCTTTTTCGTACGAACACTACGTGGACGGCCAGATATTTTTCTGTCACAAACAGAGGAGGTCTCATTGCACCTATTAATAGCCCGGTACATAAACATTTTACTAATACCAAGCGTATGGAGAGTTTTAAAAATTGCATTTGGCTCCATACCTACTTTGTGCAATCACAGCGATTCGGTTCTCCTTACCACCCCACTCCATTTTAATATCGCAAAATATTGTACAATGTATTGGCGCCAAAATAAGAAAACTCAATGAGCAATCATATAAAAATGACAGACTCCAAATTCAAATGTAATATTTTGTTTATTTTTAATTGTAACAGTATTTATGGCCAGACTAAGTATAATACCCTTAAATGAAAGTAATAAAATTTATAAGCCACTACATTTTATTTATTAAAAACTACCATAAAGAAAAAAATACTGCTGATCTTGCCTTAACACCGGTCACTCACATGCGCACGAATACGCAAACCCGCAAGTGTGGGACGACATTTGCAAATGATTATGCAAAGTTTTCGCTGCATTCGTGGTTTTCCAAGCTGTGTCGGTTTTTTAACAGACATCAAAGCGCGCGAACCTCGAACCTTCGCGTAGTCTGAGTAGTCTCCCACACATTCGCTTGCCCTGCTTGCCCAGTTGCGCCGACGATTGCGAAGGTAACGGACGTGTCGCCATTTTCATAGTTCGTGTAGTATAATAATATATACTGTGTAGCGTATCTTCATCAAAAGAAATCCCATAAAAACAGCATGGCTGTTAATGATGTCTGGGAAAGAATTCAAAACTCTTTTTCTCTTCAATGTTCTATTGACGAATTAAAAAGGAGGAGAAATTCGTGAGACATTCGTAAACAAGTGTAGGAGGAAGCGCAAACGGGTTCGCAAATTGAGTATGCGAACTTATTTGCACAGCCGCTAGGTTTGCGAATGAATGTTTGACGGCCCTTCACATGCGCGCAAATATTCGTACATTGTACGAATGTTTGCTCGCATGTCAGTGGCCGGCATAAAACAAAAACAAGAGACATGACATTTTTGTACAACTTAGTTATGATTTTCTTGAATTTTAATACTTTGTACCTATTGCCTTCTCGTGCTTCCATTACTGCGTTTACGCGGTTTGGTATGCTTTACACCACGTTTATTATACGATTTTGGTAAATATTGGTCCATTCTTCTGTGAGAGCAATTTTGAGCTCGTGAAGCGTGATGGGGGGAGGGTTTCGTTGTTTTACGCATTTCCCTAGCTCGTCCCATACATGCTCGATCGGGTTGATATCGGGGCTGCGTGCTGGCCACTCCATACGAGTAATGTTCATCTCTTGTAGGTAGGTAGTCATTCACAATGAAACCTGTACGAGGTTGGGCATTATCATGCATAAAAATGGCATCCTCACCCAAATTGACCATAAATGGCCCAACGTGTACATTAAGGATTTACCAGATATTTTACGCTAGTTAAAGAACTGTTTTCTTTGGATACTAGTTCTGTGCGAATCTCAGATGAAATTCCGGACCACACAAGTACAAATCCACCACCGTTGGCTACTTTTTCTTCTATGCATGCTTGCTTGAATATTTCCCCTGCTCTTCTATAGGTGTGTCTTCCATCGTGTTTGTAGAGCATAAATTTTGATTCGTCGGAGAACACAACTTTCGACCTATCTTGAATAATCCAATTTAAATGGTTCTGGGCATATATTAGTCTTGAAATACAATCACCACGCTCCAGTTTAGGACCATTTGCAGGTCTAGATGATTTCAAGTTAGCTTTAGCAAGTCGTAGTCTTACTGTCCATGCGCTTGGGGTACTTCCTCCGAGGCGCCGAAACTGATTACCAAGTATCGATCTTCTCGTGTTGTGGTACACCTAGTTCTGCCTGTTCCTGGTCTACGCAGGTTAGAGCCAGTTTCCTCGTAACATCGGAGAACTCTTTGTACTTTTGACAGCGATACCGATAGTCCTGGCTGTATACCCCTGACTCCGGCCGGTATTCAGCATTGTGAGGATTCTGGTGCATTCTTCAGTAAGCGACATGATTACAGGTTGAATAATAAATATTGAACACTATCAATGTGGTTTATAGACCCAAATAAATGACAGATTAGAAACAAAAGCAAAATCAAATGCAGTAATTTCGTAGTTCCATCTTCGAAAGTATCCCTTTTTTATGACATAAACTTGCAGTAACTAATAAGTTTTAATACCTTAATTTATGAAGAATGTATTTGTCTACTAAGCACAATTTATTTCATTAAGCTAGGATTCTTAGTTTCCGAGATTTATAGGTTTTTTTAGTGACCCGGATTCATTGCTCTCGAGTGTCTCTAGTTGGTAACGTGGCAAAATGCTTCAGAGCATGGAAATGGGTTCTTATTTTTTGTGACCAACCAATAAGTAGTAATATATAAAGTTTATCTATTTACGTTTAAATAATCATGTGTATCAACGAATGTTCAATTAGCATGGAAGCACGTGCAGTTATTTAAACTTTTTATTATTATTTATTAGTTAGCTTAAAAAAATCTTCCTTTTAAATAAACGTTCATAATTATATGTCCATCATTCTTTAAGTAGGTAATAAAATATCTATAAAGAACTTTTTTCTATTGTTCTTATGGGTGGACGTGCTCCACCTATAGACATTAACAATGTAAATTCTGCCTTTTGAGCATTCATAGATTGATTGTTAGTCCAGAGCCCTTTCCAGTTTCATTAGGCGAGCACGGGCCGAGATGGTTGGGATTTGCTGGCAGCTGCCCGAGCGCTACCTAAGGACTCCTAAGACCTCACGAATGCATCTACTACCGGATCGGAATCACTACCCGCTGTGATCCAGCAAGAAACTTTGCAGGCTAATGTTATTGGTAAGGTTTCACCTCAAACTCTTACTTACTTTTTTTTATTTTATTGCTTAGAAGTGTGGACGAGCTCACAGCCCACCTGGTGTTAAGTGGTTACTGGAGCCCATAGACATATACAACGTAAATGCGCCACACACCTTGAGATATAAGTTCTAAGATCTCAGTATAGTTACAACGGCTGCCCCACCTTTCAAACCGAAACGCATTACTGCTTCACGGCAGAAATAGACGGGGCGGTGGTACCTACCCGTGCGGACTCAGAAGAGGTCCTACCACCAGTAAGGGTCCCTACGCCTGCTCCTATTGCTAGAGCTGCAAGCGTCTAATAACTGTGTTAGTGGATCGGACAGAACCGTAATAACGTGTTTAGGGCGTCGATGGTGAGTGGCTCCTGCGTAAGCAGGGTCGGAAATTAACCGTTTTTTTTAAATTTTTTTTTATAGCCTATCTGGGTGGACGAGCTCACAGTCCACCTGGTTGGGGGTGGTTACTACGAGACGATTTTCATGACGACTGCCCTACCCTTCAAATCGATACGCATTACTGCTTCACGGCAGAAATGGGCAGGGTGGCAAAGCCTTACCAACAGTACTTATGCAAATTTTATTTTGCGCTTTGATTTTTATTACACGACGTTATTCCTTCACAACCGCACAGAGCCTCAAGATCAGTAATACAGGTCTTTGAACGTAGTACATACTTCAGTTACTTCAAAGCCTAACAATAAAAATTATAGATTTTACCTCTATTTGTACTATACTTTTAAGAGATAAATTAATACACATTATTATAATTATTATTACAGTGGAAGTCATTCGTGAACATTTGTTAAGTATGCATGTATTTTAGTATAAAAGTTGGTACCTCCCTCGGGACTCGGACACCGCCGCAGTCGCATCGCATGATGCACCGGGTTTCATATCCTTTAGGCCACGACGACAACACATTAGAAACTAGAGACGCATCAAAATATAATACAGTGAAAGAGCAATTAAAGAAAAATTTGTGTTGAAATTTTATTCATATGTATACAACACAATTAGACAAACAATAGTATAATATACTATTATAAATTATTGCACGATAGGTAAATATTACAAAAATATCTTACATAGGTTCCAAACGTATTTTTATATAATACTCAATATTTCACAATACATTAAATGTCATGACAGAAACAATAATCTTATGCGGTTATATTTCAGTTTTTATTCGAGTTTTTTTGACAATGTATAATCTTTTAAAGTAGGCATTTCTTAGTCATCCATATTCATAGAATAATAAAATATCTTAACTTTGTTTATAATTTGGCCTTATTATTCAATTCTATAGCACTATAGATAAGTAGGATTTTTAACTTTTAGTGAATTTACTAATTCTGAATTTTATTTTATTTCAAGAACTACATACTCATTTTAAAACATACACTTTTTAATGTCTAACATAAAATAATGTTGCCGAGTTTTAAATTCGTTTCGTCGTAAAACTAACAAACTCGTCTAAAATTGTGATGAAAAATTATTCTTCATTTTAGCAAGTTAAAAAAACAAGGTACCTAGTACATAAAATTATGCAAAAAATATGTAAATGTTTCTCCATTTGCCTTCCTTTTTAGAAACCAAATTTAACGTTTTTCTAAAATACAGATATACAAAACCTTTTTCCATTATCCTACAAAACTTTCAATCTAATTGTCCTCTAAGAACAATTCAAGGAAATAAGGCACCACTGGTTACTGTCAAATAGAAACAATATTTTGATGAGTTGGTATTAATATTTCTATTTTTACATTTATCTATCTACTATGCAGATAGTTTGACTTTTTAATACTCAGTAATATTCAATTATATAATTTGTTAAAAAAATTAAAAGTAAGATGTCACAACACAACTTAATACTGCCCAAGTAACCAAATATGTTTTTTAAAATTTGATGTCTGTTCTACATGTTAGTGGATTATTCTGTTATATTTTAATTGGTTGGACGGATATTCTCAGCTGCTATTTATAATATTTGTATACAGTAAGTTAGTCAAGCAATAACTGTATTTTAAACATTCGTTCCAATTCAGCTCTTTTAAAATCTGGAGCTATTATAAATGGACACAGATAAAATGACAATTCTTTAAGATTAGGAGCACTTGTTCTCACAGCTTTTGCCACTTGCATGGTCACATGAAGACATCTCGATAGGCTCAAATAAGTCAAGTGCTGAAATGTATTATTGCTAAAATATGCTAACAAAGCACTTGTTGAAAAATACCCATGGCGAAGTTTCAGAGATTGTAAATTTTTGAGCCTATGCAAGTGTAACAAGCTTGAGTCAAATAATATTTTACATGTCATAATGTGAAGAACCTCTAAAACTCTACAGTTGGAAACATGTCTCATAATGTCATCATTTAATGTATCCCCATAAATATATAAAGCTCTTAAAGTAGATTGTTTTGTCCTTAATAGAGATTCAAGGAAGTTTGCAGGGATATTCTTCATTTTTTCCATATTAATACTGACCAGATTAGTGCACTGAAGCATACTGTACAAACTACTGTGAGTTAAAGCAAAATTTGATAAGATTAAAGTCTCAAGATATTTTAACTTTTCAAAAGGTAAATGATAAACAAAATTACCATTAGCATTTTGAGAATTTTGAACTATGAGTGAATTACGAAAGCTCAAAAATTTTAAATTAGGCCAATGCCCAAGATCTTCAAAAATACAACTGTCAACTTGAGATATACTTATTTCTAAATGAGTCAAATTGGGACAATAACTTATCAAGGAAGTCCTAACTTGAGAATATAATTTAAAATACTGTAATTTAACATTCTTTAAATACTTAGCTACAAAAGGCACTATACTCTCACTAATACTAACATAGTTTTTCATACACACTACAAGACGAGTGTTATCCCATACGCAAGGAGTGAGACACAGTTGTTGCCATCTTGAACAAACTTTTGCTACAGCTAGCAGGGACTCAAAATCGATCATAGAGAATATATAAATAAGTATTTCATTTGGGAGATCATTTATAGTTAAAGTGTCAGAACTTAGTTGAGTACTCAACATCTTCAGGTGCACCATAGTTCAATACACCAGCACACGCTTTTATTTTGATAATTGATGTATGCTTAATGTCACACGAAATAAACTGTAATAAAAAATAAGTAGCTTTAAAACTTTACCTACATTACCTACTTAATTTTACTAGTTACACTTTCCAATAAAGAACTAAATATCATGAATATAGGAAATATTTTTATTTAATTATTTAAACTTGTCGGATAATCACTTTATTTTTATATTACCTTATAATCACCTTGCTTCGCACTCGAGTATAAATTAACATTTGCCTTTATAGAACGCATAATTTTAATAAGATTCCTCTATAAATAAAAGTCTTCTCATTATGTGATGTATGCAATAGAATAGAATACGCCTCGTCTAATTTATCAGAATTCATTCTAAAATTTAGAGAGTTTACCAAACTGAATTTTTAAGACATAATATTAAAAATAACTTTCATCTTTGATTTCTTGAAGCTATTTTTGAATGACGTTTTAATTGTGACACTTGACGTTTCCCTTGATCTCTTGGATAGCTATTTTGTGTGACTGATTGGGCAAAGAGCAAATAACCACTAGCTCGACAGTGCTATTTTTTATTTTTAATATTAAAATAAAATGAACAGCGTTCTGAATATAACAATTACATTTTAAATATAACAATTACGTTTTATATTTAAGGATAAGTAAATAATAGATAGTATTATTGACATATTTCTGTTTACTAATTAATGTGGATTTGTTCTTAATTACTTAAATCTTCGGTGGCAGGTATGATACAGCCGGTAGAGAAGAGTCTGTCACTGGAGATAAATAGTTAGAATTCACTGATGTTGGGGTAAGTGTACCTGATGTAGGAGGTAAGTAATTTCCATTAGGTTGGCTGGTTCCACTACTCAAATTTCGACTCGATGGCTGTAGATACGACTGTGATGGTACTGATGGTTGAATGCTTGGTGCACTAAGCTGTCCTGTATTCTGCGGCGGAATATATGAATTTAATGACAAAGCAACAGAGGTCTGTGTACTTAATTGTGGACCAGGGCTTGATATCCCGTATTGGGATGTTGATGGTGGTATATATGTCTGTGAATTGGACACCATTGACGAACTAAGTGGTGTATTGCTACGTATTGATGGAACGTACAATTGCGATGGCTGATTAGTTGAAATAGAGTTCGATGGAGGTAAATATGCTTGAGAAGAGCTTGATGAAGAAATTCCACTGCTTTGCGGTATATACGAAGCCAATGGCGTCATCCCTGGTACGCTAGTACTAAAAGAACTCGTTGGAGGTACGTATTGGTTATTGATTCCATTTGACCTATTCGTGCCAGAATTAATGGCGGGAGCACTAGCGCCTGAACCAGCCCCAGAGCTTGGCGGTAGGTATCGTAGACTTTCTGTATTTATTAATTGACTTGGCGCAGGTCCTTCATAGTTGTAATTAGCTGATACGGAACTTGTGGCTCTGGAATTCGGAATGGTTATTTTTTTAACACTTTCCACCGTATTGGATGTAGTCGGAGTATTATAATTATACCCAGAATTTCCCGATTGTTTTTGTGAATTTCCTTCGCTTAAAGCACTTAGACTTGCTATGGAATTTATGGAAGTACTTGTCACTGGAGCAGGTCCAGAACCGTAGCCCGCAGCTTTTGATCCAGCTTCTGAATTTAATAAATTCTTTTCTGTATTTATTAATGATTCTGATGATGGCGCTTGATAATTATAACTAGATGACAAATCTGTCAATCCACCTTTTACTGAAATGGTTTCTGTTTCGATTTGCCCAAAATTGTTTGCAATCAATCCAGCATTGTTGTAGTTATAGCCTGAAGGTGAAGTACTTTGAGAACGCTCAGCGTTCGTATTTTGATTGACTAAATCATTTGATTTCTGATTATTGTTAGTAATTCCGACAGAATCATAATTGTAGCCAGCAGCACTCTTGCTTGTTTGAGATGAATCGGAAGTAATTTGACTTTTTGCTGTGGCAATATTAGAGATTGATGATGGAGTGTCATAAAAATAACTTGTGGAGACAGAACTGGTAGCAGTAGAACCAGTGGAAGTCGCACGTGAACCCGTGTTAGTTTGAGGTGGACTACCAACATCCGTTGGCACATTATAACCATATCCAGCATTGGTATTTGTTAATTGACCGGTGCCTAAACTAATGGCCTGTGATGATGTGTCGCCAGCATCTTGTTGACTGCCAATCGTGTTTCGTGAACCATAGCTATAACCGCCAGCGCTGCCACCGTTGTTACCTTTTGTTGTTGTATCCCCAACAATTTCCGCGTTAGAAGATTGTTCTTTAGGTGGGGCAGGATAAACGTAATACATCTGCTGCGCCTGCGTCCTGTCAACATTTGGTTCTTGAGTGGATACAGTAGATGTCGAAGGCAAATCAAATTGAATACTAGGCTTGTTGTAAACGTACCCGGCTTGACGTTTCACGCGGACAATTTCTGTCACTAAGAACTCGTGGGATCCTGGGGATATGTAAAACGATCGTGTATTTATTATTAAAAGTAAAAAATTAAAAAGAAAACCAATAAGTTTTGCTTGTAACCACATTTCAACGGAAACCTACGGCTTTGTTACAAACTACTAACTTGTTTGTGAAACACGTTTCTCAGTAGACCTTTCTTTATTTATAATAATTTTAAGGAAGTCGTGAGTTCAACACTACCGCTGCTGAGCAGTGTTTTCCACCGCTATTCGTTGAATTAAAGGAAACCACAGAAAATAATGATTTTCATGTTTATGTTTTAATGGAAAGATAACAAAGAATACATAAGCAGCGAAATTTGAATTTTTTTTCATTGGAAAAAATATTCTTAACGTATATTTTAGAAAAACTTAGACAAGTCTGTGAATCTAAAATCATTATCATATTGACGCCGTCTCCGCTCACAAGACGATCGGCTTTCGCTCGACGGACTGCCCGAAGCCTACCATGCCACATGCCTTACCGTACTGTAACCCAGCTGACGCTAGTGTTCCGCAAGGTTCTGCAATCTCTATCATGAGCGTGATTCCAATGTGAAGAAGGATGCGTTTGACAGGACACCCCCATTCCAGCGAAACCGAACTCTTCCGAAGCGAAACCTTCCAAGCGCATTGAGCTTGTTGGAGTTGATATTTCAAGTGTTGTATTATCATTTAAATCATTTGGAAGGTAAACCCATACTGGTCTTAAAATTTTTGGGAGTGCTATAGGCTAGAGCGAAGTGGTATCTTGCGCCTGGACAAAGGCTTACGCTACATACATCCACAAGTAAAAGAAAAGTGCGGCTTGTATGTCATGCTCCCACCTTCGCGGCGGGGTTACCGATTAGTAGCTGCTCTTGAATAGTAGAGCGCTGTTCGGATTATCGATAATCCTGCTCTCACGGGTCATTTGGAAACTCTGGCTTTATGGAAGAAAGACTTTGGCGCTCTGAGTATTTCATTCCATATTTTATATACAGAGTTCTCTGAAAATTTGTTTGAAAGGATTCCAGCATCTCTTTTTTGCCGCACAATCGGAGCACAATTCATTACTATTTGGACTGCTATATTGCCTGTATGCTTAAAGTATAAGGCAAAAGAAATGTTGGTTATGTTTCTCAATTACCCATTCAAAATGAGATACATTGTTGATGGTCAAAAATACATACCTTCTTCTTTTTCTCCACCTTATTCCAATAGGTGGGGTCGGCACAGCAAATTTTTCTCTTCCATTTTTCTATCAGCCGTCTCGTCTCTCATCTCGTCATTCACACACTCCATCCATGTCTTCTTCGGTCGACCACTTCCCCTCTACCTTGCACTACCACTCCCATACATCTCCTAGTCCCATGCATCTTCTTTCATATCATCTTCACATCATCTTCAGCGGTGATGGTCAAAAAACCCGAGGAAAAAAATACAGTAGTTACAGGTTATATTCCGCGGACGAGATTGTGGTTTTATTTAATTATATAAGTATAACGAAGGTAGGACTTGACACTAATTTATTTATGTCAAGGGTTGAACATTTTTAAAATGAAATTCGAGTAAGCAAGTGCTTGAGATGATGATGGTCGTGTACAAAAATAAACAAGGCTTATTTAAAAAAAAATGTTTTTGAATTCCAAACCTAGGTTTCAGACCCTGTAACTTACTGTTGAAGTACTGGCCTACTATGTTTAAAGCGTAAATTAATTAAAATAAAAAGTATTTCAAATTTCTTTCTTTACAATGGAAATTTGTTAGTTACTATTGAAAACAATACGAATCCAAAAAAACAAGGTCGACTGAGCTTGTTTCGTCTGTTCTGAGAACCATGGTTCTTTGCAACCCGTAGTTAATTAGAGTTACTATGATGATATCAAGTATGTCTGGACGTTGAATTAAAGATCTAGTCTACCAATAACCCTATTTAAATACACACTCTAGAGTAGAATGTGAATATACCAAATATTGTATAGCTTTTTTTTTCATTTTACATTTTTGGTGACTTTTGATATAAATTATTTTATGAGTGACAATACTTCTTAACTTATTCTATTGTTTATATCAATAGGCATATCTCGATAATAATAACCAGAAAGTGAAAGGCGAAGTCGCCACTCGCCAGACCGCTCAGTGCCAGGCGACCTCCAGTCTCTATTGAGAAGCTCAAGCTGCAGTTATTTAATGTACAGTATACAACAGTATAAAAACAGTACAGTATAGTATAAAAACAATACTAAAGATAGGTAAGTTATCGTCATAATATTACATTTAAAGTAAAACTACAGATACAAATACTTTGTTTTCTTAAATATTCTTTCAATCAACAGGTATTTATGCGTAAAACCGGACGAATTAGCGTAATTTCTATACTTACACGAGTACAGAGAATATGGAGTACTTAAAGCTATAATTAAATTTACCGGACAAAAAATCACGTAATTTTTTTTATTTTTATTTCAGACCCTTTCCGAAATGGTTCTAAAATTATATGCCGTTTCTGATGGCCCTCCATCGCTCTCTGTGAGGCAAGCCCTTGTCGCGCTTGAAGTACCATTTGAATTGATTAATGTGGACTTCGGCGCTGGGGAGCATATGACATCAGATTATGCCCTGGTATGAACATAAATAATAATTAACAACACGAATGAATGTACTTACTTTCCATTCGCAAACGAATCGTCACGTTCTCGAAACTCGAAACATATACTCATAATCGAGAGCACGAAAATTGTTTTGACATAACGGTACAACATAAATCTCGAAGGCTAGATATCGAGTACTACCATCTAATGTTTACATTACGAATTCGATAGATTTTCGTTCTTGACGTAGGTACTGGTGCGTGGTGATTACCGGAAGCCATAGACATCATAATGTGAACACCATCTGGAGTCAAAATCTAAATTATATTGCATAGCGGCCATCCTGCCCTACATCTTGGCAATTAACACGATAATAAAGTATTTCCCCATCTGCAAATAACAAATTATAATAAATAAATGTGTTTTACCTCTCCTAGATGAATCCACAAAAAGAAATTCCTGTTCTTGACGATGATGGTTTCTATTTGAGCGAAAGCAATGCTATCCTACAATATATATGTGATAAGTATCGTCCTGGCTCACCTTTGTACCCACAGGATCCTAAGTCCAGGTTAATATTTTAATTTTGTTCTTAATAATATACTCATCCAATAATATCGTCAATATTATCTGCCCAGCTATTAAACAAAAGATAAAAGTATAGCCGATTCACCTTAAGCTTACTATGGCTATGTTTATTAGCTAACTTTATTTAATGCCTCCAGCAGTGAGATGAGTTGATAAACTTACATCTGTTTTTAGTTGGTACGACTGAACGGAGAGCCGTTAGTCTAATGAAACTGACACCAGGAAGTCGTTTAGACGTGGCATTTATTTGTCTGGACATCTACTCAAAGAATGTAATTTAAACGTAGTAATATCAAATTACTAGGTTGAAAAGTTTCAATTTTGTTGTATGGTTTTACAGCAACAACATTTATACCATGAGTTTTTTTTTCAGAGCTATCGTAAACCACCGTCTCTGTTTTAACTTAGCAAGCTATTATGCTAATATCTCAGCCTACACAGTAAGTACTTACTTACCCTTATAATTTATATAATATAAAATATTAATGCGTTCGATGTTATAGTTAAAAAAATATTCACCTTTAAATACCTAGAATTTATTTGGATATAACATAACACAGAATAATAACATAGTTATTGTCAATCGCTAGTCACTGAGTTTCTCGGTGGATCTTCTCAGTGGGTCGCGTTTCCGATCCGGTGGGAGTTTCTGCGAAACGCTTTTCTTGCTAGGGCCAGTATTAGCAACACACCCAGTTTGAGCCCCGTGAGCTCACCTACACGTCAAGGAGAAGCTAATATAGCCTCTCAAGGCTATCAGCATTGGTAGGGAAAAAAAAGTCAATCTCTGACATCTTGACGGGGATTGAATTGTATAGTTCGATCGTTTCCTTTTGTTAAATTAGTTAAGTTTGAAATAAGTGATAAGTGACACGAGTTCACGAGTACGACTGCTGCAGTTATGTTATTTGGTTACTAACAGTAATACTTTTTTGAGGGAAGAATAACTGTTGGGCTGAAGGCCTTTCCAGTTTCACCAGGACAGGTGTGCTAGCAAATGCTCAGTCAGGAGGGTTGGGATTTCACTCTAGCGCGCTGGCACCAGGAGGACGGAACGATGCGCCGGCGGCTGCGGACTGCGATGCGGTCCGTATTTTCGTCGTCGCTGTCGTCGCCGAACATGCTGTGGAAGAGTAACCCGGTCGGCGGTGTATCGCGTTCCGACCCGGCAGGCTGGTTCTGGCCCATCGGGGTATCCCGGAAATCCAGTGGCATCGCCCGGGCGGCCTGGCAGGGCCGCCGTACTGTGGAGACCGACGTCGTTGGTCGTCGACTATCGCCTCGACAACCCGTCGGTCGGGCGTCCTCGGGGTGGCGCCGCGTGTCTGGTTGTAGTGTTAACCGCGGGAACCCCCCTACTCTGACCGGGTTTTGACCCCTGACGGAGATCGGACGTCGGATGTAAGAGTGCAGGGGAATCGTTTAGTGGGTAGGGCCCTTAAATTTCTTGGGCCTGCGGTCTGCTCCCAACACCTTGCAGATCGTCGGGTCCCACATACACCGCGCGCCCCCTAGGCGCGGGGACCTCGTAGGAGGTTCGACCCCCGGCCCGAAAAAAAAAAAGGATGATTGGGATTTGCTAACAGCTGCTCGAGCGCCTCCGGTGGAGACCTAACAACTCAAGGGCAGTTGCTTTGCGAATGCATCTACTACCGGATCGGAATGGCGACCCGCTGAGAAGTTTCTCTGCTGCCCGCTTATTTCTCAGCGCTCAGCTCAGAAATACTGTATTAGGTTATATATGGCGCTCGGTTCCTTGATTATGGCGGAAGTAATGCAAAAAAAAAAGTATTTATATTTTTTTCGCGAAGCAATCATAGGTTTCGATGGTATGGGTAGAAAAGCCACTATTCTTTTCATAAATGAGGCAGAACTCTGGTACATGCTTTGTAATATTAATATCGGTAGGTGCGGAAGTCGAGAGCTCATCTCCTATCTATACATATCATCATCATTATCCTGCCCTTCTCCCAGTCACCTGGGGTCGGCGCAACATGTTTATCTATACATACTAGTATAATAATATGGACCGATTACAACTTATGTACACATTAGTTTTGGTTGAAATTTATTTTCTAGATGGCACCTATATTCTTTGACTACGAACGCACTCCACTGGGTCTCAAAAAAGTTCACATCTCATTAGATGTTCTTGAGACTTACCTAACCAGAACAAACACATCCTATGCGGCGGCCAACCACCTGACTATAGCTGATTTCCCCTTGATCAACTCTACTATGACATTAGAAGCTATAGATTTTGACTTTTCCAAATACACGAAGGTAAATACATAAATATGTACTATCATATTGTTAAATAGCGGCGGTGACTTTTACATTTCTGTTTGCCTAACAAAGAAGAGAAATGTATAAACGTCGTCATATTTTATGTTCTAAGGTATGAAGGTCTTTTTATTTCATAATGAATTTTTGAGAGTGAACACTAACGCATAATATTGCTTATTTTTCTATCAAGACTACAATCTACGCTTTTATTTTTATTCATGAATACACCCAGTACACTTAGCAAGCATTGACAAATTCTTGTTGTATATTTTGAATTGTGGATTCGGAATATTTAACTATGAGAGGTCAACTTGATTCATGAATAAAAAATCACACGTTCCGAATTGCAAATTTGTTAACTCTCTAAATAAACGCACAGTCTACCTTCTTTTTTACATATTTCTTTTTGCATTATTTTATTTGTCTATGTTTCATTCCTGTTTCGGTCAGTGCTTAAGAGGAGTACATTGAAAATACTTTATCTTTGACTTATTTTTCTCTAGATTCTGCTTATTTCTTTAGAAAAAGGCCAAGGAGTTTCCGAATAATAATGAAAAATGATGAGTATGTGTAGAATAAATTATGGCCGTGGAACTTATTTTGTTGCCGTGCCACACAAACTTTTGTATAAAAAAACAATGATTACAATGATACAATGATCATAATTGATATGACTTCGCCTAGCCTTTGGCATCCATAGGCACTTCGAACAGATTTTACCGGAGATTAAAAAAAGTTTCCAATGTTAATTCGTACCCTCACAAACCTTTCGCCGCTTCTACTAAACGCAACTCTCGAAAAATGATAAATGTCAGAGACGAAATTCACTCAAAAACTATTATATTTAAGCCATTGGCAAATATGTATTTACCACCAGTAAATAATATTTTTACTAGTGGTAGGACCTTTTGTGAGTCCGCACTGGGTGGTGCCTATTTCTGCCGTGAAGCAGTAATGCGTTTCGGTTTGAAGGGTAGGGCAGCCGTTGTAACTATACTTGAGACCTTAGAACTTATATCTCAAGGTGGGTGGCGCACTTACGTTGTAGATGTCTATGGGCTCCAGTAACCACTTACAACCAGGTGGGCTGTGAGCTCGTCCAGCCATCTAACCAATAAAAAAATGCATATTTGGAAAAATGGATTAGGTAATGAATACAAATCTCAATTAATAGAACTATTCTTTTTATAACTTTATCAGATCAATAATTATAAATTTAGTATGGTTTATGAAACGATATCGATAGTAAATATTAATGTTATTTAAACACAAAATGTGTTGTAATCTGTATATGTAAATACATACAATAAAAAAACTTGAATAATAAAACTTTTTTTATTTCACAGATACACAAATGGTACAATGATTTTAAGGTGAAGTATCCAGATTTATGGAAAATTTCGGAAAGCGCCATGAAAGAGATCCAACATTTTGCCGCTAACCCTCCAGACTTGACTCACCTCAACCATCCTATACACCCTATCCGAAAAATCAAAAATTAAATTGGAATATTTTTCATATTTCCTCACGCAACAGAGGAGCTCCAAACAAGATTTTTACTTAAATACATATTATTATATTATTTTGTAATCGATACATGATGTCTAATAAAATAAACGACAAGTTTTTTATCCGCTTTTATCCGGACCCTGAAACGCATTTCTTCGCATAACCCAGACACGTATTCGTGCAACAGTCCTTATGGTTGGTACACTGTGAAAATAAAATATTTTTTTTTATGTAAGGTTTTAATATAAATTACTAAACGTTTAGTTAGAATTAAAATAAAAAATTTAATAGTAGCTTAAAAGTTAATCGGACGTATACAAAACGAATAAATTTGCATAATCTCATTGTCGGATGAGTTGTATTAGAATAAATATCCTAATAAAACAAACCTGACCTTATTAACCGATGACCCTAATGTTCATTTAATGTTAATTAGATCACGACAACTATTTAAACTAGGTGATGACCTATTAAAACTTATTTATTGGCGTAAATACGTAAACAAATCTAATAATGAATACAATTTCGGGCGTAGCAATTACCTACGTGATCAAACAATGGAAATAATCAATTTTGTCATAGTATCAGAAAAACAGTTTTAATAATATATTTAAATTAAAATTACTTACGAAATGTCCAATCTGAAAACATTCTTCTTTATTTTCATAATCCACGGGTTTGTCCAAATCATTTGCAGTAGTATCCTTTACGTTTGAAGTTTCTGCATTTTCCCTTATTGCATTTCCAGTCACGTATCCGACGACAAAAACAATGCAAAGTACAAGTACTACACGAGACATTATGATCAAGTTTTGTTTGCTACTGGGTAGTTTCTCTGGCACGTCGACTCATATACAGTAAGGCAATCGATGTATACATATATAGTAATAGTAAATATAGTATATAGTAACTTCTTGGAACCACGTACCCGCATGAACTTTCGTGATAGTAAATAGCAGAACGTTTGCGTTCAAAACAGGGTGTTCGTAAACATAATTAATTAAAAACAATTTTGGTATTGGTCGAATGCATGTATTTATGGCTATTTATGGGTTTATAGGTTTTTAAACGTCCATTGTCTGAGACAGAAAAAGGTTTGCCTGTTCATGTAGTATTCGTACTAAAAGCGATCAAAGCAATGAAGGAAAGAAATCTTCTTTGAAGACTTGCTCTGAGGAATTGTTCGAGATGATTCCCGCATCTCGTTTTTACCATCGCACCGCCCGCCACCGGAGTAGAGTTCATCCATACTACCTGAAGCCACTGCGGTCATCCACAGTGCGTTTCCAGAGGTCTTTTTTGCCACGTACCATCCGGCTATGGAATGAGCTCCCCTCCACGGTGTTTCCCGAGCGCTACGACATGTCCTTCTTCAAACGAGGCTTGTGGAGAGTATTAAACGGTAGGCAGCGGCTTGGCTCTGCCCCTGACATTACTGGAGTCCATGGGCGACGGTAACCACTCACCATCAGGTGGGCCGTATGCCCGTCTGCCTACAAGAAAAAAAAAGACTAATATTTTATTTAGAGAATTGAATATACAACCCAGACCATAGTATTTTAAATCGTCACTAATTATTTCAATATTTAAATAATCTGTAACGTGGTGGTAAGCGTCTTATGGGCCCGCACAGGTAGATCTATCACCAGCCTATTTCTGCCGTGAAGCAGTAATGCGTTTCAATTTGAAGGGTGGGGCAGCCGTTGTACTGTACAAACTTCAACATAGAACTCATGTTTCAAGACGGGTAGCGACATTTACGTTGTTGATGTCTATGGGCTCCGGTTACCACTTAACACCAGGTGGGCCGTGATCTCTTCTGAAAAACTATATTTTACAATATATATTTATATGTATGCATTTATAGCAAGAGTCTCCCCGGTTGTTTACCCACCCAGCCGAACAATATAAATAAAGGAAGCTTTTCATTAATGACACACTTGAAGGGTTTTCGCAAACACTAAATCCAAAACATAAGTCTGTTGCATTTCTTGTCAGCTCTTCTCGCAAGCACGCGATTCCGATCTGGTATTAAATACATTCGCGAAGAACTGCTGTCCTTGAACTATTAGGCCTTAGGGGGCCACTCGGGCTGTTGTTAGCAAACTCTGCACTCCCAGCTGAGAGTTAGAATTAAGCACCAAAGTTTCCAGGCCATCCACAATAATTGCACAAACACCTTTTGCGTTTAGCACTAAATTGTATTTTCATCTGTACAATTAACATTTAGTACCTATACTTTTTAATTTATTTTTTATTCCGTAGACGGGTGTACGAGCTCAAGGCCAGCTTGTTGTAACTGTCTACCAAAGTCCATATACAATAACATCTCCGCAATTTTATATTAACCTGAGTAGTTACATACATATCTATTAATTTTATATGAAAACAGAAAGACTTGTAATCTATACATATAAAAATGAAGTGCTGTTCGTTAGTCTCGCTAAAGCTCGAGAACGGCTGTTCCGATTTGGCTAATTTTGGTCTTGAATTATTTGTGGAAGTCCAGAGAAGGTTTAAAAGGTAGATAAATATGAAAATGCCCGGAATTAAATAAAAATAACAATTTTGTTTTACCTTTGATGTGTCCCCCGTCGGACGGATTCCTTTTCCATTGTTTTAAGTCCATTTTATACTAAAGTTTAGGTCCTTCTTTTATTAATCGATTGAGGCACTACGAAGTCTGCCGGGTCAGCAAGTACACAATAAATATACAAGAGTTAAATAGAGAATATAAATTTTATGATTAATAAATACTATCGTACTGTAGTTGGATTCTCAGTACTTTCAGTATTGATCAACAAGTCGATGTTTACGTTTTTAATCTCTCTTTTAATTGATTTGTGATTGTCATTACGAGTATTTATGATGTTAACGCACTTATTTTGTTATGGTAAAGAAAAAGTAAAAACCAAAACATGTTAGACAATATTAATTTTTGTTTTTTAATTAATTTATAGTCCTATCAGGCAAACAATTTACATAACATGTTAATTATTGCAGAGGTAATGAACTTAAAAGTCTATAGGAAGTCCAAACAGAGAGCCTCGCGTTGTCCTCCTGGTTACTTGTTGGACCCTCGGCGGCTCTGTAGGCTTCCTGCCGAGCAGACCTGGCACCAGCATGTTTTTATTTCCCCCAAGGTTGTTTAATGGTAGTTTGTTTCCTCCGAGATTGCCTAATCCCAAATTGTTCAAAGGATTATCTACCGGCAACTTGTCCACTGGCAAGGGTATCGGCAATTTGGATAACAAATCCCCAATTAAATTTTTGCAGAGAGCTCCTGTTAGTCTATCCGCCATTCCACCCCATAAGCCCATCTGGCAAAACCTGAGAATAGTTTTAATTTCAGTTACAAACTAATCGCTACAAACTAAACGCTTCAAATATCACAACTATTATCAATATATTCACTAAAAGTATGAGTTGAATCAGGGCCGGATTTAGGACAAATGGAGGGCCCCTACAAAAGAGAATTTATAAAAAAAAATTCAAAATTCCACAAGTAAACATCTTTTCCTTCCTCCGAAATTAAATTTTAGATAATTCTTGTCTCCGCTTATATTTATATATGTTTGTTAAATACTATGAAAATCTACGTGATTTCACAATAAATTATATATTGGAAAACTCGACTGAAAAAAATTGTTCATTTTATTGGAAAATAATTTGGGGCCAGGGGGCCTCGGCATCTCTGTTGCCCCGATGCCTCCAGATCTCTAAATCCGACCTGAGTTGAATTCTAATGTTTCACGTACCTAAACCCTTTATCTGTTTTGATGCCATCATTGATTTTTAAGAACTGATCATTTTCTTCTGAATACGGTTGCAAGCCCATCAAATTCGTCTTTGTATTGTTCTCTTCTCCATTAAGGCTGTGCGCGAATTTGGAAATGAGATCTACAAAGTTGTCCCTAACTTTAGCATCACTGTCGGATACTGCACCACTCATTGATTTTCCTTCGGTGTCCAACGGTTCGAATATGTAGGCAAGCTCATCTCCGTGAGCTGGGCCCTTCATTTTGTTTTCATATACTTTCATATCATTTGAGTTATCTAAAAAAAGAGCAAAGTTATCAATTTGCTTTCAACATTAATTAAACTTGTAATGAAATTAAATCAATTTTATATTAATAATCGGTAGTGACTTTTCTAAAGCAAAAGCAATGATTTCAATATATTTTTCTGCTCTTCAAAATATGTATCCACAAAAAGTTGTACTAACCAGTAAGGGCAAGTCCAGGTAGAAAATATGACCCTTTACTAAGGTTCCCAACGTATTCAAAGCTATATAGATAAGCGGGACCCCCTGCGCTCCACTGGCGAACACTCTGGTACGCAGGAAAGTTGAACAAAGCATCACCTGTGATTTTTAAACATACATTGAACGAATTCGAATGGCACGTAATACATAAATATAAATTATAAAACTCTTATTTTTATTAACTTTATTCCTTTCTTTGCGTAGGTAGATTAACAGCACATTTGAAAACAAAAGCCATGATTCTTAATTAAAAAACAAAAGGACGGTGGGTAAATTATTTTTAAGTAAAGTATGTATTTCTGAGTAAGTACCTAATGCTTTTAAGAACAGATTTATATTTTGAATAATTATCGCTGAAGGAAACTTTATTGAAATCCGAAATCTTTTAAATAATATCCATAACACCTAGCTTCGGGCTGTTTGAATGTGGTATTTGATTTTGGAAATGAAGAATCTTACTTCGTTGTTTATTTCTGAGATATCTAACATGATGACTTAAGCTGTAATAAAATTGTAGTGTAACTCAAACATCAGTCAAAGCTCACAAAATATTTAGAACATATCACTCTGGAATCAGTTAGGAACACGTTTCCCAACTGAACCCTAAACACAATCTTGTTTACCTGAAGGGTGTCGGATCTGGGGTACCGTTAGGCTTAACACAGACAGGGGATGATAACATTGGAGGGGTGCCATTGTGTAACGCTTTCAAAGGACCCTAAAATATTTTTTTCGGACCGGACTGT